GGAAGCTCCCACACTAGGAGAGTGAACACTGCTCTCCCACACTCTGACATGCATACACGCAAATACGCACACAGATATTTAGATGAAGTGGTAGTTAGCCTTATAGATAGGGGAGAAGAGATACAGATAATAAACATCCTGCATGCAGCAGAATGCAGCTTGAACTGCCATGTACTTCAATATTTCAGTGTTTCTAATAACATATTCTGCCAAAAAAACCAAAGTGTAGACCCTGCAAATGGTTTCTACATGTTACTTATTGTGTTAGCCTGCACTTTTGCTAAGTCAATGTTTCTGCTCTTTCAAAGAAAAACTGATTTATTGATTCAAGATTTTTGAACGCCCAGTTTTTCGACAACTGCTTTAGAGAAAAAAAAACTTCAAAACATTATATGATGCTTTGAATGATTATAGATCTAGCTTCCCTGCCTGCATTCCTTTTCCTACAGCTCTTATACATTTCCCTGAGAGACACATGGGCCAGTAAGTCAGAACAATCAAGCCTTTGGTGTGGGGCCCAGCTACCCAGCCAGGCGGCCGGTGAAGTGCACCCACAGCCAGGAAGCAGCCATGCTCAGAGAGGCAATGGGTCAGCTCAGACCTCTAGGCTGGCTGCTGGGACCTCACAAGCGCCTGGTAGTCGGAAGATGGTATAATTGACTACAGTATTTCATTAAGGTGCACATCAAATTATTTGACCAGGAGCAAAGCTCTTTGTTGCCCTCTGCAGGGACAGGAACCAGGAACTCTATTCATCAGATACTGCAAAGAAAAAGAGAAAATGGAAAGAAAAAAAAAAAAGTGGTTAGAGTAGTCTTGAAAGAATATACATCCATGGCCATAAATCTTAATGCATTTCTGGTTCTTTAAGAGCCCTTCCATTGTTCAGTGATTTATACAGCAGGTTGTATTTTAAAGAACTGACGTGTTTAATGCTTTAGAAAGGTAAGGGTTTTCTGCTTAAAAAAAAGGTTGTGTGTGTGTCCCTTTTTTCATTACCTTGTCTGGTTTGTTTTTTTTTTTTTTGGGGGGGGTATTTGGTTTTCTGTCTTTTTTTTTTTTTTTAATGGAGGAGATACTGTGCCGTTTGCTAGAAAGATGTTGTATTAGTTATGTATATGTGTCCAAAATGCATGTTGTCCTTCATTAAGTTATTCATGATTGCCTAATTCCTGCTGCACAATAAAGATACTTGGCTCTGTGAAACCAGAGCTGGACTAAAAAATGCATAACTTTTTCAAAAGGCAATACTGTCTAGAGGGAGGCTGTAAGGAAGGTTCTGATCCAGTTCACTCAAAGGATCTTTGGAAACACAAAGTATTTTATTCTGCTGTGTTATAGTTATTTTTAAATTGCAAAGTAGCTGAACTAACAAAAAGGCAGAAGGAAAATCATTGAGTGGAAAGCAAAAATAGAACCAGAACTCCATTAGTAAAGTACCTTTCTCTGCTGTCTCAGCTTTTCAAGGCTGATAGGATGACAGCTTCTTGTTTAAGTTTTCACAGATTTCTTTACAGGCGTATAAAACCTATGAACTTATGACTGAGATATATGCATTATACATGCATTCATAAATGAACATTGATCAGTCCTTGGAATACTTGATTATGAGCTCGTGCTTCTTAGGTTTCTTGAATATTAACACCTTCTTAAGAAATCAAATGTATTCAGATGAAATTTAAGTTTTACGCATTATTTCTTGCTTTTGCATTCAAAGACCTCAAAATCATAGAATCATAGAATAGTTAGGATTGCAAAGGACCTTAAGATAATCTAGTTCCAACCCCCCCTGCCATGGGCACGGACACCTCTCACTAAACCACTAAACCTTGTCACCCAAGGCTTTGTCCAACATGGACTTGAAAAATAATATAATCTATGCTGAATACAGGGATCAGGTGGCTACCTCTAGGAGCTGGACTAGAGATTTTATGTAGATTAATCCACCAGATTATGTATTTGCCATGTAATTCTGCCCCGGAACATGAGGACAAAAAAATGATAGGGTGAAAAATCCCCATACCACCTTGCGCTTTCTATGCTCCAGTAGTAACAGCAGAGCACATACTGCCTTCAGTGGATATATGCTAGGAGAGTAGAAAAGAGATGCAGAATATTTTAGGTCTAATTTTGGGTTTATGGCATGTTTCAATGGTGAGGGCTCCGTGGAGCAGTAGCCTGTCTCTGATGGTAGCTGAGAACAGATGTATCAGCAAATCTATAAGAACAGGTCAGGGCATAGGGATGCTTTCCTGGTATGTTCCCCCTGCTGCCTGTGGCTCAGGGCTGTCCAGCAACAGCTACCATGCCTTTGTGCTCCGTAGCCTTTGGTTAACTTCTCTCACATTATCTTGTCTAATCACTTCCTGGAGCTATGCAGGATTTTGGCATTTGCAACATCCTGTGGTAATAGATTTCCATAGTGTAATGGGTTAAAAAAAGGTACTTCCTTTTGTTTGTAGCTGTGTCACCTGTTAATTTCATTTGACATCCCCTAGCTCTCCTATTGTGACAGGCTCAATCCCTGTGCACCTTCTCTGTGGTGTTATTGATTGCACAGACCGCTGTGTAGGTCCCTTCTGATTATTAACTCTTCCTTTTCCGAAAGCTGTCCCTTACCAGCTGCTATGGGCCTTACAAAAGGTCTTAGCATCAGTGATGCAGAAAATGATAGATGCTTAAAAAACCCAAAATGAGTTGTGACATGTTTCCTAAATACTTTATTTTTTTTCTCTTTCTCTATCAATTTAATCTTATTGTATTCCAAGTAGCACCAGTTGCTAGTCTTGTATCCCGAATTTACTGCTGGCTGATTGCAAATACATGAAAAAACATGGCATATTTTGCAGTGCTGAAAATCTGTCTCTACTGTAGCTAATTTATCTTACATTCAGGTCACTTTGTACCACAATAACTGTCAATTAGCATGAAAAAACCCCAACTTGTTTCTTATTTTTAATATGTGGAATACTTTCAAAGTTGAACATGAAGAAAGTTGCGATTGCTTGTAGTAACTGCTACAAGGGAAAACTCTAAGTTTATTGTCTTCTGCAATTTAAATCAATAAAAGACACAGGCCTGCAAGCAATGAGGAGAGGCAAACTTGATCAGCTACTTTATACAAGGTGAATAAAAATGCAGGGACCTACAAAACTATAGCAGAAACTTGCTGGGAGGGAGAAAGGAGCTGAGTAGTTGGCCAGCTCCTTCTCTTCTACTTAAAACTGCTGCTCCATCCCTGAAGTTGCCAGCTTGTCTGTTTGATGGCTTGGCAAGGTTCTGTCGGGAAATTTGCAAATTGCAGCTTGTGGGAACATGGGAAAAATACAGAAATTAGACTAACGTGGAAAAAGAGCATGTAACCTCACAAAATCAGTTTTTAACCTGGAACTGCCAGGCCTGGTTAAGGAGAAGGATTGGTTTCTTGTAACTTTAATCACATTTGAAGTAGTTAGCCTATTAAGCCTCATTTATTCTATGATTCCATTAGCAGCTTTGATCCATGTCTGCAGCTCTTCCACACATTAGGGGTTACATAATGTGTGGCTGTACAAAAAGAAGTGGGAGGAAACCCTTTGCACAGTGTTGCAATAAAATAGCCACCTCGTGTATGGTTCAGGGAGGCTGATAAAGTGCTGCCCTGCTCTGAGCATGCATGCTCCTGGGAAGATGACAGCAATCTTTGTGAAAGAGAATGGGCAGAGGAAGTAAACACCACTTGGCTGGGTCTGACAGTCACACCTCTTAAATAACCATCTTGCAGTAACAGACTTCAGTCAGCCAATGGTCAGGGGAAGAAGTACCCTGGGTTTGGTTAGGCCAGAAATACTGCAAGAACAGGAATATCTGACATATTTTGATATTTCTGCTGTCTCCTTCAGTCAAAGCTTGGCAGAGCAGAGGTATGGGGAATCTGAAAAGAAACCAGACTGAACTTTTGATCTAAAAATCCCATCATGTCACTTTCTTCATCCAAACCCACAGGTTCAGCTTTATAAGGACACTCTTTTTTTTCCTTTTTTCTATGGGTAGACCGCCATGGTAGAATTGAAGGGTACTGCTTTCCCTAGACAAGCTCAAATTTAATACCAATTAGGTATTCTGTATATGGTTGAAAAAGTACTTTGGATTCAGATTGTCTTGTTTCATGGTGGATATATTTGTTTTCTTCATTCAATCACTCAACAGTGAAGTCTGTTGCAGCTGTGCAAATGACTGTTCAGCTGTTCCCCTCAAAATTTTGTGGGAGCCAGGCAATATAATTTCTAACCATTCCTTATGTGTAATGCAATACAGACTTATTAGCAGGTCCAGTTACTTTACGAGATTCTGCTCTAATTCACAAATCAGATTCTGTCCAGCCAACCTGAACACATCCTGACACTGGAGCTCAAGAATCAGTTTTCTGGGGGCAAAATCTGTGCAGAACCAGGATCCATTCTCATGTGGGCTTCTGGCTAAGAGCTAATGTAAAACTTCACAGTTAATAAAGAAACAGTTTATTACTGCGCTTCAAAGTGAAAAGAAGCTGATTCTGTCTCCCTACAGTTCTGTTTCTTGGTTATCTGTCTCATCTTTAACATGGGTGAATGATACTTATCACCAAAAGGTTCAAAGTCTTTGTTAATAGATGCATTTCTCAGCCCAAGGCTGCTACTCTTGCCACTCTTGTTGGCAGCTATTCAAGCGTCAAATATTTGGGGATTTTCTGTGTACTTATTTGTCTCTGAGAAAATAATTATTTGTGTTACAATTTCACATAATACTAGTTGGATTGGTCTATTTTTGGTAAATGTTTAATCTCTTGACATGTTGTGTACCTACATTCCATCAGAATTAGTCAATTTTGCTACGTCTGTATTACTTTACATGTACCATTTTACCTTCAGAAAATAAGCCTGCTGTCATAAAGTTGTTAGTATGCTCATACTAAATCTGATAGTAAAAGTTACCATCATATTAGTATTGGAATATACTTATTGTATATTTGCCTTCCTCAGCAAGACTGAAGGAAATGGAAACCATGCTCTCAACCGTAGTGTGTGGTTGGAAGACTAAGCAATGGGCATAACTTAAAGGAAGAGATTGTAAGAAAGGAGAAACTACTTTTCTGTGAAGACAGCCAAGCAGTGGAGAAGAAGGTCAGGAAGCCTGCAGACTCCATCCTTGGAGGTCTGCAAGACCCACTTGCATAAAACCCTGAGCAACCTGTTCTGATCCTGAAGCTGACTCCACTTTCAGAACAAAGTTGGGTTAGAGACACCAGAGATTCCATCCAGCTTGAAGAGGTGTGAGATCTTGTGATACTGTGACTCTCAGACATGAAACCTGGATATAGACAAATAAGATAGAGAAGCAAAGGTTTCTGATGAGTTTAGTAAACTTCTGAGTGATAGCTCTTCACTCCTAGTGCTCACTTTCTTATAGGGAATTAGTCAGTCAGAAAAACAATCTATTACAGTTGTATCCTCAAACACAAATATTAATGGTACCTATGTTTGGGGTTTTGGTGTTTTGTTTTGTTATTTTTTAAATAAACATTTAATGTGGTTCCAGTCCCTAGAACAAGTCTCTGCATCTGATTTGATGTTCTTGGTCTCTGGTGGTCTTGATCTTCCTCAGAAGAAGAACATTTGTCTTCCTGAGTTTCTGATATCTCTGAATTTACATTTCCTGCTGTTCTGTTTGCAAAAAGGTATAGAAAGTAAAGTGCAACCATTTGATATACCTTAACAGATTCAATTCTGTGTTTATTGGCACAGATATGGGAATCTGGAGGAGCTGAGAGAACCATTCACTGTGTCCTGCTTCTCATCATTATGATTTGCTGTACATGCCATTGATTTCAGGAGGGGCATCAGGTAGCAAATTTCTCTGGAGAGTGCATTTGCAGGGCAAATACCAGAGATGGGTTAATAAGGAAATGCTTTCAGTTTTTGTAGGTTTTCCGTTAACTACCTGATCTCTCAAAAGGCTGATTGCTGCTGAACACCTTTCACATCAGTTTGACAGCACCCTCACCAGTGACCCATTTACCAGGAGAGTAGCTGGATGCCTTCTTATTCCCAGATGAGTCACACTGCCATGGTTGTGTAGACACATATGCTGTTTTGTAGAGAACACCAAGAAGAACCATGTTACCCAAGCCTTTTTTTCAGCTCAATGGTAAAAGCTTTTGGACTGTCTTTTGCTCAAGTTGATCCTACTTCAAAAAGCTGAATTGTGTGTATGTGTACATGCAAGCATATAAAGCTTATTCTGTAACCACTCTGTGCTGGAAGCAAACATTTGTAGTTCTGTTGTGTGGGTGCCTGGGCCAGTTGGCAAAGTTTGTCATAGCGATTTAACAATCAAAAGCTGCAATGCCTAAGCATTGCTGCTCAGTTTTCAAAAGTATATTTAAAATTAACATGTCTTCCAGGGCCAGCTGCTGACACCCCTAAGGAGTACTCAGTAGTACTTCACTCTTGCAAATCTGTTTCAGTTGATGATAGATTTCCTTACAGAGTAAGAGTTGACTCATTGTGAGTAAAGGCATCAGCATTCAGACTCAAGTCAGCAACAAAGAGAAGTAAAAGATAATATATCAGCTAGTATGCTCCTGACATACATACATTTTTTTTTGTAAGAAGAAAATTATACATGTTCTAGTTACAGATTTTGTTTTTAATTGTTAGTTTTATTTTTCCCCAGTAATGAAAAAAAAGCTTTGGCTACAAGTACGCAGACAAAATGCTTCAGATTTGTTAGATTTGAAAGACTGGTTTTCACTCTTGTGGTAAAAAATTGGCTTCTGAAGCACAGAATTTGAGGCTTCGGGTATGATTTTCCCAGAAGACTAACCAAAATCTCCCACTACAACTTAAATTAATTACTTCTGCAACTGCATCCCATCCTCCCCCACAACAATGTCTCCTCTCCAGTGTGCTAGGCATGAGTTGTTGTGGGTGATGACAAAGTGGGATAAAAAGGTAGGTTTGCAAAATATTAGTCTGAATGTTTCACTTCAGTTCATTGCCTAAGCTTTACGGACAGCAGGATAGCCCTGAAAGCCCGCTCCTGTGACTCTAGAAAGTTGTCCCTAGTAGGGCTCAAGATTCTGATGGTAGCTTTCTGTGTTGTTAGTAATGCTTAGTGAAACTTATTTTATCTTTTCACTGTCTGAAATGTAATCCTTTAAATGTATGAAGCCTTTTTTTTTTTCCTTCTGTCTTTAGAAGTGTAGCTTTACTTATGAACCCCATCCACTGTTACAGTTAAGCAGTCTCTGCCTTCAGAATATATGCAATATAAAAGATTACTTTTTTTGTTAAATGCAGCATGGAAAATCTTCTCAGAAAGCATCTCTCTGGTTTACAAAGGAATCTAATGTGCAGGACCAGACCTGTCAGCTCTCACTTTTTTCAGCTGAGACTTGTTCACTTTTAAACAGCTTTTTACAGCACACTATCTCACTCCAGCAAGGAGAAAATTTTGCAGTGTGATTCAGTGAGAATTCTCACTCATTTAACTGTCATCACATGAGAATTCCTGTCTCGTGAACAGAGGTAACGGGAAGGTGCTGTTTGCAAGACCTCTCAGCTTTGTGAGCTGTTCTACATCCAGTGAGTGATCAGGGAAAGACCTGCTCCAAGACAGAGTCTGTGCTCCAAGCTATTAGGAGCTTCTCCATTTTCAGTATGGGGGAGAAAACCTATATTCCAGCTGTCAAATAAATGCATTTGTAAGAAAATATTCCCACAATAGAGAAGGTCTGCAGTAGGCTGAGGTCAGAGAAAAGATGTATGATTTTACCTTTGTTAGTCCTGAATATTCTCTGCTGTCAGTGAATGATATCTTTAAGCAAAATGTGCACAACCCTTAATCCTCAAAGTATTTAACAGGAAAGGAAACTTTTCTCTATATGGTCCCTACTCTCCCTGAAAGAATAGGAGTTGGGTCCAAATCACCACCCAAACTTCCAAATAATGAAAAGTCTGCACTTGGTCTAGGGTAACTGCATATATGACATGATAAAAAATAATAACAAAAGTCTGTTCCTTAAAAAAAAAAAAGCATAAGAAAGAAGGCAAAAGCAAGCTCTTTTTACAGAGCAATGTGTTGAGTGTCCAGGAAGACTTTTATAGCTCCTAATATCTCTGTCAAACGACCCTAACCTTGATGGCATCTCAGAAACATGCCCAATATTACCCAAATGACAATATATCCTACTGCAGCTGTGACCTGTGTCAGCCAGTTTCACAAGAGAGCTGTTGCCCAGTACAGTGAAGCTCAGGAGTGTGTGAAGACATCAGCTTTGTCAGTAGCCATCTCAAAACTGCAGGCAATCTAAGCCATAGGAGTGGGTGCAAAAGATCAAGCGGTTTGGGAAAGTATGTGTCCTCATCTGTGGGATCATGACAATTATTCTCCCTGTGTATGGAATGGAGATCTTTCCCTTGTCTCTCCTATATGAACCTGGCAAAGATCCCCACCTGCTGAACCTGAATTGACAGAGTAGTTTAGGAAAAATATGTGAGCACATTTTGCTTCAGAAATTACTAACATTAGTTACCTGCCATTCCTGCTTAAAGGTTGCACCTCACTTCAGCACCCATGACAAGGAGAATTTGCAATAACTCCTGGTTCTGCTCCTGCTCTTTTTCTCCCCCTTCTTCTACATGCAGGGTAATGTAAATGTGTTCCTGACCTTTACGCTGATCTGTCAGAGAAGCAAGTCTCTGTGCTTTCTCCTCACATCCTACTGCTTCCATGCTGGACTGGTCAGAACTTAATCTTTAACAAGACCTAGCAGTGGCTGGATCCAACTATCTTCTTCCTTTCACCATTTAATCAATTGTGCTTGCCATTTCAGTGGTAATTGTGATTGCATTGGCTGGTTTTAACTGATAACTGGAAGCTTTCTTTAGAGGAATATAGTCTGAAAACACTGAGAGAGAAGAGCTGTGCGCAGTGTATGGTCACAAATACAACAGCCATGCACCCATAAGAATGCCCACATGGGGGGCATTCTGTCTTCTCTCCAGTGAGAAGGACCCTCATACCCTGATGTGGCAGCTGAGAGTTTATTCCATCATATTGAAAAATTTCTGGGACCAAAATGTCAGCCATCTGTACTACCAGAAACATAATCCATCCCAGCCAGTAAATCATAGCACCCCGGTGTTTTGGGCAACACAAACTCTTATTCAGTATGTTAAACAACTGTGGACTATTGACAGTAGGGTGGGATTTATGAGGCCTCTCATGATCAATCTCTTTCTATTTAAATATCTGATAAATTACAGTCTGAGGGATTATGATATGCCTATTGGTTAAGAGCAGTTATGTATTTATAAGATTCCTGCACTTGCTGCAGTAGAAGCTTTGAAATCTGAGCTATAACCTGTACAGGAGCAGGTATATGAGCTCTTCTTTCACAGGCCAGATATGATGGAAACCTGTATTCATACTGCCTATTTGCATTCCTTTATTTCTGATCGTATTAGAAACCAACAATTTGGGTGTTTTTTTCTGAGTTACAGCTAAGTACTTTTTTCCACAGCAGATTGTTCTCACAATTTTTAGTTTTTCATCTGTCAAATAAGAACTTCTTAAATAAACATGGCTGTGTTGGGTTTTAGTCTTTTTTTCTCCTAGCTTGCCTGCTATTCTCTGTGAGATAACAATAACAAGTGACAGTTATGAAAACCAGACACTGATCCATACGGTGTCTCAGACCAGAAAGTATGCATTCTTCTGACTGGCTGCAAAACACAAGTAAAAACCCCTTTCCTTTCAGTTGTTCTGACTTCTAAATCCCAGCTGAAGGGAAATGTATAGCTCAGCCTGTCCCAGAGCTGCTCACCCCAGCATCAGCTTTCTGTGTTGTTGCAAAAGCTGGGCATCCACTCTTCCTTCATGCAAGACTGCCAGACATCAAAGAGCATATCCCATAAATCCCTCAGCTATGCATTTTAACCTGCAGATATGGCATCTTGACGCTGTTGACTGCCAGGACAAGTTACAGCAATGCTCAGTTTACTGTGCTTCAGAGGAAAATATTCAACTAGACTTTCAATAAAGCCATTTCGAGAAAGGTGGTGTAAAACTTCTGTTGGAAGAACTGAATTACACTGTTCCGTGCAGAAGGGTGCACCTGAACCCATGCTTGGTTTAACAATGGTAATTTGTTAGTTTGATTTTCAGTGGACAAAAGACATTATCCTTGCAGAACCATCTTGCATGGAAAAAGGCTCAGGTGGTTTACAGGCCTGGCTATAAACTATGTGGCATTTGTGCATGCCAAACTGGCACACAGCACTCTTGATAAGCTCAAAGTCTGGTCAGCAACTTCTGTTGGGTGTGTTGGTGAACTAAATCCAGCCTATTGTGTCAAGTTGAAGTAGTCTTCCTTCCTTCTGTCTTCCGTACTGATAGTGTTACCTAATGGCTAATTTTCGTTCATTCATTCACAGTACCAGTTTTGTATTGGTAAATAATAAAAACAGGATCAGTCCTAGACTTGTTCGCTGAGGAGCGATCCTCAATGAACTAGTTCTTCTGGAGGGAAGTTGTGCATATCACCTCTCGGATGTAGTATTCAGAGTAACCACATTCAGTTTGCAAGCTGGCAGAGGAGCTGAGGCAAGAGTAGGGACCAGGGCAAGAACAGTGTGAGTCTACTCAGGGAGGATCGCAAGTGGGGAAACTGAGATAGGGTAAGATGTTGAAAGCTGTACTCAGAGCAGCCAGAGAAGACCACAGATGCAGAACCAGCATCTGAATAGCGAACTCCTGTCAGGTAAAAGCGCTTTCAGAATCTTTGAAACCACTTGATCATGTGAGAACTGACCATCTTGTGGGGGTACTGCATTCCATGTGCTGGTGACTGCAGGAACACCAGGAGAACTGCTGGAGGACATACACCTCATAACACAGGAACGTCTGGTAGTTTTAAAAGTTTCCACAAAAGCATGTTTTCAGAATAGACGCTGCTTTCTGCTGTTTGAGACCCAAACATTGCTGCATTGTGCTCTCATACAAGAACCAGAATACAACAGGGGGAAAGAGTATGTATATTTGCCTTATTCTCATATTCTGAGAGCAGAATTGTGCCAAAATAAACAAATGGTGAGTATCTAGCAGGATTTTCAAATTATTTTTTTTTTACAATCTATATATTTTCAAACATCAATGACGAACTTTTCATGTGCATATAGGCACACTCTCCCTTTCTATTCTGCTCTTTCATGTTTTCCTAACAGTTTTCCTTGAACGAAGCCATTACCATTAAAAATGTATGAAGCAATGCTTGAAGAATTTTGATTTGTGTTAAAAAACAAAAGACAAACATATATCAAAATCATATACTTTATATCCAATATCAAACTGACATATATCTAATTTATATCAGATGTCTGACACATATCTATCAATATATATCTGATTCTCTCTGATTCAGATATTATTTAATCCCTCATCTAATTCTTCAGACCTGTTAGAGTTTACTGTTAACCAAAGTTGTCCCATTTGAACACCAGGAAAAATTTGTTTAAGATACAATGCTGAACTTCATCTCAGACTGCCAGAAAACA